TACGTCGTCGTCTACGTATACTACTACGTACTCTACTACTACTCTCTCTCTCTCTCTACTCTCTCTCTACTCTCTACTCTCTCTCTCTCTCTCTCTCTCTCTCTCTCTCTCTCTCTCTCTCTCTCTCTCTCTCTCTCTCTCTCTCTCTCTCTCTCTGTGGGAACTCTCTAAGTTTTATATTTAAAGAGAATGTGATTGTCATTGGTTTGTGAAGGTCAAAGCAAGCAAGTGCACTCTTTGTTAGTGTGACTACCAAAACTCAATCCCACTTATTTAGTGTGACGTGCACATCGAAAATATGCTTTGTGTTCAGGATCTTTTGTATTGCGTATTGAACAGGATCAACAATATTTGCCTGTAAGGATTCATAAATTTCATATGTAAGTATTATGGAATATATTATTTGTGATGAAAACAAAATTAAGAATTATATATATGATGTAAATGTTGGGTTTATATGGCCTTTAAAAGGCTTATAAGAGATTGTATAAGCATTCAGTAGGAGTGTGGTCCTCTTGCGAATCATATTAGGTAAATACTATTTACCGATACTCGGACTATGCTCGACGTCCTAGGCTAGCCGAGTTTTGAAAAAACCCAAGATACCAGAGCATAGGGATCTAACCGATAAGGGTTTAGTGGGTTAGCCCGTGATGAGGTTGGAGCATACTCAGATGAGAGCAAAAGGACTATGTGGCCCTTGTGTGTGATAAGTAACATTTAAAAACAAGGTTAAAACATCATCATTATATCATCATACGAAATGTATATAGATAGCCGTATTAAGATTCACCATTGAGGGTGAAGCATGTACATGTGCAAGAGATTACCCCTATACACCATTGAGTTGTGGTTGCATCATGATTTAGCGGACCATGGTTTTTGTCTTTAGGGGAGAGCTTGAAATCCCTAGACTGGAATTGTGTCTCCTAGTCTATTAGTTGACTTTGGTAGTCTAATCATGAGCACCTGCAATGGACTGTAAGCCATGGGAATTGCTGGGTCAATTTGAGAAAGCTAGGTGGATCGTGGTCCGCAGTTGAAGGTGAAGTGCTATTTTACTTTGATAAATTATTAGATCTAACGGATCTTATTCCCATCAAAATTAATTAATTTTATTTTATATGATTTTTAAAATATTTATTTGAATTTTTGTAAATCTTTTGATATTTTATTTTTGTCCTATGAATTTATAAATTAAGATAAAGTCATTTTCCAATGTTTTAAAAAAAAATTGAAATTTATAATTCTAAATTCAATAATATTTTTAAAATTATGTGGGACCCTACATAAATATGGGGGCTCAGTTTGGCACGTATGAAAATTGGTTGGGGCCCACTTGTAGCCACCAAAAGGTGGCATGCCCCACCTATAAGGATTAATTTGATCACCAAGTAAGGTGATGTGATAAAGCCAACTTGCATGATAAATTCAAATATTTGAAATATTTAGTAAACCTTGTAAATCAAGATTGATTGATTCAAGAAATAAAGAATGGATATATTAAAATAAAAAGTATGATATATAATTTCCTTGTTTAAATATTTGATGGGAATAGATTTAGGAACTGGAAAATAAGGTTATAGCACATTCATTTGAATTTTGATGGTATATCAAATAAATAGATGACTTACATCTCTCACTTTACATATCTCACTAGATTAAAAATCAAGATTTAGTCATATGAATTATGGCAAACCCTAAGGCATAAAAAATCTATAAAATGAGGCTCTCCCACCTCATAAATATCTACACAAATTCTCTATTCTCTCCCTAAGGGATTCTCTCTCTCTCCAAGATCTCTCCACGAGGACACACTCCAACCTAGGTTTCATCTCTTTCGCAAAAGTTTCTAAGGGGGGTACGCACCAACCTAGCGTCCAAGATCTCTTTAAGGTAGCACGCCTAGGCTAAGGTATATCACATTTATTTCTCTCTTGTGTTTTCTAAGGGGCACGCTTAGCTACGACTGATTCTTGATTTGTGGGTAGCAAATGGGAGCATCCCCTAGCTAGTAGATCTCTCCCTCTTTCTTGGATTTTATCTCTCATCTCTCTAAAGATCAAGCCAAGGGGGCTTGAGCAAGACCAAGGCATTGGGGCCTTAAGTAGTTGGTTCTAGATCGAGATCCATATGCTATTGAGAGGATTTTTGCCATAAGTAGGAGAATCAAGAAACCAGTCATAGATCCCGAGCACCATCGGAAGGAGGAGACTCAGCATGGGGTGTACTAAGCCCGGTTGAAGTAATCTCCGACAATTTTACTTCTTTAAATTTTACTTTTTGTTGATTTCTTCTATTCCCATAAAGCAATGAGTTAAGGTTTTAATTTAAGGAGTTGTATTCAATAGTGGTAGCAAGTGAAGAATTGGGTTTCCTTGTTGTTTTATTTATTCATTTCAAGAATTATTTATTTATAATTGGACATTGTGAGTGGTCTTGTTGGTGTAAGAATGAGAGATATAAGAAAAAATTATATTTTATATACACCATGCTTGATCACATAGTCTAACTTTCAGTAATAAACTATATAATGCATATACCTATTGTTGAAGACTGTGAAGTTGTTCTACTATTGCACCCAAGATATGCTCTTCTTCTTTACCAAAGAGTGTTACTTTCAACTCTGTTGTGTCATCTATTAGAGTACATTTGATACAGTACCTGTAAAAGTTTTGTATTCTCTTAGTTTTTATGTATTATATATAATTAAAAAAATTAATTTTAGTTTATGGATATCTTACTTAAAGCCGATTTCAACATTATCTTATTGTCACTTTGAGCAATAATGTTCTATTTCACCAATTTGAGATGGTTTTGTTAAGCATTTCGAACATCCTCGATACCATAACTCATCATCATCATAGAGTATTGTCGCTTTGACTTGTGAAAAGATATATTTGATCTACATAAATTTTGATAAAGTGTTATTACTCTGTACAATAATTAGTATATGATAGAATATATATTTTCAACTTATACCTTATGTAGCTCGGTAATATTCATATTGGTTGGCTATTTTATTGTCTTTGTTGGGGATTCCCTTTCTCTTTTTTCCAATGATGGTGGAGGTGTAATCTGAAGTATTCCACAATTTTCAAACCTAGATTATAAGAATTTATATCTTTTTTGTAAGGATGGCGGTAGTATCATTGGAGAATTGGTTTTGGTGTTTCCAAATTTTGAAATTGTTCGTATTAAATATGCTTGGTTGGGCCTCGATCTCATCAGGTCGTATGACTGCACGCGGACCCGAATTTGGATCTGACTCGAGATCGCTCTCTCGAACCGCATTGCTCGAGGCGCATGTGCGAGCAGGTACCAACTAGTGAGAGAGGATTGTGTGGTGTGAGGTGGGACTTACATCATGGTGGATCCATGACGAACTCGAGCGTTTTGCTTGGGCACCCTTTTAGATCACGATGGAAAGCCCCGATAGCCTGAGGTTGGTTCGGCTTTAGCCTCATTGTTCGCACTCTATG